GATGCCAGGGTCAATTTTTTGGAGGAGGGAGCAGAAGGAATACTCAGCTCGTTAAACACACAACCCAGTGAACCCTACCATGCTATGGCTAGGGAGGATGTTCGTAAGACAGAGAGACCATGTATAGATAAGGGGGTCCATGTAAAGAAGTTAGCCTCCATGTGAAGCAAGGTATATAGGTGTCCGTTTATGAACCAGCAGTAATAGATCGCTGCTCAGTTCTCCGGCATTCTCGGAGAACACAGTTCTCCTGTGAATGCCGTTTATGAAGCATATGTAGATCAGTTCTCCAAACGAAGGGAGAACTGTCTCCAAACGCTTGAAAATGGCTGATTTTACTATAATCTTGCGAGATTACAGTAAAAGATCAGTTTACTAAACAGAGGTAAAATTATCTCTGCTTAGTTTGCGGTCCCTCCGATTCTCCAGCTCTGTGCTGGAGAATCTGGATGGAGAACACAGATCTCCAGTGAAGGGCTGAACATGTTTTCCTGAGTGTTATATAAACTGTGAATGACCAGAGAATAGCTGTGATCCTCTGAATCACAGCTATTCTCTGTGTCATAAAAGGACACCATAGTTCCAGTGACTTTAAGAGGGAAAACCGGGCAGACTATGATAAAAAAAATTTTTTTTTTTAATAAAAAAACAAAGATCTCCAAGGCACTCCAGTACAAGACACAGTCTGTTTAAGGGGTAATAAAATATAGCTCCACAATCCATGGCAAGTTCAGCAATGTAAAAAAACTGCATTGATGTATGGAAAGATGGGGACCATCATACAGTGGTTGCCATTAAAGGAGAAGTATCAACCTAAAAAAAAACAAAACAAACCACAAACATACATTCCACCATGTTGCGGCATTAGTCTGATGCGGCATCTGTCCCCCACTGGCTGCAAGCCCAAGATCTGAGCGATTACATAACCACTGAGTGCTGGGCTGGGGGCATGAGCAGCTGGCTCCAGCTCTCAACCGCACGCTGAGAGGCTAAGCCAAATGCTGCTGATCAAGCTTCTGGGTGGATCCCAACAATATGTTCAGGATCCTGGAGTGGCTCTGTGACGTCAGCTGACAGAGGCTTTAGCCCACCGTCAGCAAAGTCTGGGTCACAGGTGCACTCCTGTGACCTAGAAGAGAAAAGTATGGTAAAAAAAAAAAAGCTTTTAAAGAGAATCTCTCATATGAAAGATAGTAAGTCTATAGTAGAAAAAAGACAGGAGCCACGCTGCTGCAGTAGATTTTGTGACAAACTATAGGAGGCTGGTTACTGCAGTAAAAAAAAAAAATACATGCCTTTAGGACCATGATGGGACACACATAGTTGAGTGAATAAGGGTCCATGTGCAGGATTTTCAAAAGCCTCCTAAATAGTTAGAGATGGCTATTCTACCTTGAAGTAGCATGTAATAATGTGAGAAAAACCCAACAGAGAGGAGAGCAATAAACTCTGTGTACCTCTCCAAAGGACCGAGTGAAATTATATGCCAGGACATCTTTGCCTAATATGGTGCAAATGTGAACAGACATCCCCACTTTCCCTTTTGTCAAGGGCTGGGGGACAACTCTCACAGCAAAGGTTTCTGAGCAAGTCCAGTGGGCTTAGAGGTAAGGGTCTACCACAAGGGGAAGGACATGCTAGTGCATGTACCTGACTCCGTGAGGTGATGAACAAAATTGTATCTGTACATTACGAGATGGTCATAGACTTGGAATGAGAGATTGAGGATAGTGGTATATTTCTGAAGGGAATGTTCAAAAAGAAGCAGATGAAGGGCATTCGGAAAAGGCAGCTGTCACAAGGGTGTTCTACTGACCAGGCTTTAAGCCATAGTATTCTGCACATATGCACAGAAAGGTAAAGACATTCGAGATATCTGGTGGATCACATTCTCCAAAGTTCACTATTGATTTCTCAAGTCCAGATTTCCATTGGGTGGGCAGTCATCAAGATGGCAATAGCTGAAGGGCTGATTCTGCCTAGGCAAAGGACAACTTCAAAAGCTCCAGGCGGCTAGCAAAGGAATTCTTAAAGGAGGGAATACCCTTAATGGAAACAGTAGATTATTAAATATCCCCAGATCAACAGCGCAACAGTGTTTATTCTTAAACTCCCCTTCCATAGGGAACAAGTCATCTATTTAGAAGAATATATGATGGGTAAGCAGCACGAGGTGTATCTATTCAGAGACTAACACACTGTTTCAACCGAGAGTGCATAGCAGCTAGCACGTGGTGAGAAGCTGAAGTGACTTCAGAAAATTCTGGTAGTAAAAAATCATCTGCAGCCTCCACTAAAAAGTCAGCATCCCCCTTACATTCTGCAAATGGAAGTACACTGGGCAGTTTGGTTTCTAATGTCTGAAGATAAAGCAAAGGTGGCAAGGCAGAAAAATGTTTGTGTTTGTACCAGGGGCAGACTAACAACTCACGGGGCCCCCGGGTAATAGGGGATCATGGGGCCAGTGTCCTTGCACAAACTTGAAAAAGGTACCAGGGGCATCTCATGGGGCCCCCTACTAACCCCGGGCCCTCGGGCAGTGCCCGAGTTTCCAAATGGTCAGTCCACCCCTGGTTTGTACCCATCAATTCCAAAAGTTACAACAGCCTTTGGAATAGATCCGTGTCAGAAAATAGTTTTAGTCAGACAGGTTGCATGTTGTGTGTCTGAGAGGGAGCCCGAATCAGGGGGCTTGAGCTATGCCAACGTAAGACCTTGCAACATAACAAGGGAACTTTCTTTAGGCTAGGTTCACATTTGTGTGGTTATGCATGCAAATCACACACATTACCTCAGCTGCACACAAAACACAGTGCTTTACAATAAATGCATAGGGATACTCTTAAGGGAAACCCCATGCACTGAAAAACACGGCCTGGTTTCCCACACAGAATCGCATGGTGCCAAAGCACCATGTGGTCTCCGTGTTTTAGAACAAGATACAGGAACCTTGCAGATGCAGTTGAAGAAAGAAGGAACACTCATGAAAAATTTAAAAAAAAAAAATCTCCAACAGGAGAAGGGGCCTATCACCTAAAAATACTAGCAAAACAAACTGGAGCCTCACAGAGTGGGTAGGGTTATATGGGTACATGTTTTCATTCCCAGCAAAGCTTTTGTCAATGTCACCTGAAGCAGCATATAAGCCAAGGTTTAAGAATAAACTCATGTGTCCAGTAAACTACAAGAAATATAATTCTAAGTTAATTTTGTTTTACATCTCCATTTTTTCATCCCCTCCAGCCTCCTTGCATTCACATCCTTTCTACATACATAAGTGATTAACTATTTGTTCAAGCAGATTTATGACAACATTGGCTGAATATGCCTGTGCAATGTGCATTAGCACAGCCTCTTGTAGTCCTCAATGGCAGAGTGTGTGACAGCATCGATACACAACTGGGAGCAAGGGATAGAGTGCCGTCACCCCATAACAAGAAGGGCCTCAACAAGGGTGTTCATTGCAGGATATCCAAATATTATTCTATGCTGTAAATAAAAGCTGCACATATAAAACACATTGAAATAACTTTTCAAATTATATGAGATTTTAAAGAGACTGTGTAAAAAGAGAACTCCAACTCCAAAACATGACCATTTTGCAGTTAAGTACATAGACAAGCCATATTTTAAAATCCCTCTGAATAAACAAACTGCACACATTTTGTATTTTTTTTATTATGGTTTCCACATTTATATCACAATTTGTCCACCGATAGGACGAAAGTTAGCAAAGTTGCTCTCTTCTGCATATCAGAAATACAGAAGTCTTACTGTACATTCAACTAAGGCTTTGTTTTTTTTTTTTTTTATGTATTTTTTTTTTTTCTTTTTTGCAAAAAAAAAAAAAAAAAAAAAAAATAAATCGCGTTTTGATGGAGATCCCATAAGGCAGATTACATCTAAAAAGGAATGGTAGCAAGTAGTTAAGTTTTTTCTTTTTTTCCCAGCATACCAACTGGCCTTATGTGTTCGGCCTCTGGACAAATTAGAAGCTGGTAGCACCATCCGTCACCATTAAGTTTTTAAAACTAGGGTCAATTGATGAACTTTTCTCATAAGGGGTAAAATGAACACAGTTCATTTCTAATGTAGAGATGCTGAAAACACTGAAATATAGTTGGAAATCACATGTATGTGTTGGGGCTTGAACAGGCTTCAAATGGTGGAAAGGTAGATTTTATATTAGGCTTATAAAAGGGAAACTAGCAGCAGCTTACAGATCTGAACTGTGTGTGATGGTAGATGGGCACAACATAACTTTAGTGGAACAAAAAAAATGATGGGGAGAAGGGAATGATTTTTTTTTAAGACTCTCCCCTAGTCAACATAAAGGGATCAGCTGTGATGCTTGGAACTGAACACTTATATACTTTGCGTCTCTTTAGACACTTTACTGTCAAATTTTAAATTGAAATAAAATCTGAAAAAGGAAAAAACATTAATTCAAATAAATAATGCATACTCTGTTAAGGTAACTTACTCTCAACTTATTTAAATCCTCTTTCACATAAGATTTAGGTACCTGTCATATATATATTTTTATTCCAGCCCTTTCTCAGGTACCGGAAAAATTCACCTTTTTGCAATCTTAGGGTAGGTTTGAACTTAACACTTTATTTTTTTCATATACTTTATAGCTCACTTGCTATAGGAGTTTCAAAACTCCAAGTGGAACCCCCCCCTGCACACCGTTCCATTGCATTTCTTGACCCCCTTCTGTAATCCTTTGCCAAGTTATCTGGTAGCAGCATTTAGCACAAAAGAACAGATGTGGCAGAGACAGAGGGGGGGGCCTCCGACAGGGGAAGAGAATTCCCAGGATGTAGTGGACACAAAGCTTCTCTTCCAGGCTCTCTACAACCCCAACCCTTCACATCCCCCAAAAAAGGGAACTTATCTCTCTCAATCAAATCTTCCATTTTGAGCATTGGTCGCAGAGCGACCCATGGTTTGCAGTGAAAACCACAGATATGAGAAAGCAGATTTGGGACTGGTGCTCAGTCTAGGCAGACATAAGGCAAGATGTTTAATCTACCATCATCACCATGAGGGTCCAAGGAGATGCACTGCGTCCAATCATACCAGTTGCCTTGTGTATCATGACAGCCATTGACACCAGGCCAATGTTGATTTTGAAGTCTGTCTAAGTCAGTGCTAGTCACTTCCCTGTTTTTTCCAGGCAGCTCACTCGGTAGGGCAAGTGGCACTAAAACATGAGTCTTTCTAGCTTCTCGCTTACTGCATTCCTCCTGTTTTAAATATTCAGACATATAATAATGTGCACTCTGTGTATGTACACCAGAGGAAGACAACAAGCTGCTCTGACGATTGAGATAGGACTGAATGATCTCATTTTGAGACAACTCCTTCCAGTCTGTCTGTTCAAAGGGACTTGGCAGGCCGAGTTTAGGGTCTTGTTTGTCTGTCTCAGTCCTGTGCTGTTCTGAAGGGGCTGAAATCTCTGCCTGGGATGGGTCTTTATTTGTTAAAGGTTTTATTTGCCCAGTCATAAAATCAAATTTCAATTTGCGATCCTTTTTTTACTCGCGTTTGTTTGCTATTTCCATCTGCTGAGTTTCCTTCTTGATCTCCTCGACTACGAGATTTCTTTTTCTTGCGGCTTTCTGAACCAGAGGCTGCGTCATCGCTGTCCATTTTTGAGGACTCTGGTGAATAGCTACTGCGAGGTGTTTGAGGATCTGTGATAGGCTGTCCACTACGAGGTCCATGTGGGGTGTGCTGCTGTGTTAACTTGGGCGACTGCTGAAGGTGGTAGTCAGTAGGGACTAGATGTTCTACAGACCTATGAGGTGAAGAGACTACAAAATCCCTTTTAGGAGACTCTAGTCTTTTTGCTATGGCAGGGGGTGTAGAAGGATGCACAGGGGATTGGTAAGAGGGTGAATGTGCAGTGTCTACACCAGGCAGCCTTTGAGAGGGGCTGGGCGCAGAACCCTTTGGTGCATATGTGGTGTGCTGCCGTGCCACTAGTTCTGCCCTAGTGCCACGAGGGCTGTAGGAGGAACAGCGCGGACTTCGTGGCTGAAGAGACTGGGTTTCTTCTAACCCTACACTGTGCTGCTGTAGGACGGCCACTTTTAGTAATGAGGAAGTGCTTGAGTGTTTTACAAGTCCAGGGGAGTTGGTGTGCGGCCGGACAGCGTTTACTGGAATTTTACCATGTTTATCATTTTCAGCAGTCTCCAACCTGTTAGTCTGTGAACTGCCATCAAGAGGACTAAGTAGGTTTTCTGGGGGACTACCTCCAATTCCATTGGTAGGGAGGGGTGAAAGAATTTTGGAAAAGCTCCTGATTCGGTTTACCTGCTTTGCAAGCAAGCCCTTGGGTACCATCTCTATATTCCCCTTTCCGCTTTCGACTGGCCACCTTTTCAGCCTTAGGTGAATGTGCCTTCTGGATATCATTCCTGCCCTTCAGGTCCTGAAGAGGCTTTCCACTCAACAGTGCAGTTTGATTGGTCTCTCCCTTATAGTTGTTGGTACTACCACCATTGGCTGAACCTTGTGGGTTGGGAGTACCCCTGGCAGCCTGCTCAGTCTGTTGTGCTGGCTCTATCAACTTTTGCCAGCTACGCAGCAGTTTCTTAGCACGTTTGGCAAGCTCCTCGTTACTGGTCTTTTTCCGAACATCATTAATAAGCTTTCCAAGTCGGGTTTCCTATGAGTAAAAATAAATAAAATTATACTTTTTTCCTCCAAGCAGAAATTTTCAAAACAAATCGAATTTGAAATATCACTGTGCAAATATCGTGTGACATAAGAAAAGGTAACATCCACTATTTTTATTCGCCTGGGTCTCTGCTTAAAAAGTTTGATGGTTCTAAGTGGTTTTCTAGCAAAAAAAGCAGATTTTTACATGTAGAAAGAGAAAAATATCAGAAAAGGCCTGGAAGGCAAGTCGTTAAAGGGGTATTTTATGTAAAATATTGTAGTATGCATTTTCTGAGCACAGGTTCAATTTAAAGACGTCATACACACCTCCAGTGCCTCTTTGGTAATTGGATACTTCTCCAAACTGGAGATCACTTCCAACACGGCCACCATGTTACGAATCTATAGAAACAAAGGTTATGCAATTCAGAGATTTGGATCAAAGTGGTACAAAATTTACAAATACATGCATCAAGGAGAAGACAGGTAAAACATTTGGGATCAACATAAATGGGTTGTCTGTAACTTTTGTGTTTTCAATGACCAAACACACACCAGGTGGTCAATGGTATGGAAATCATGTTCGTCAATTTTAGCAGAGATTACTAGTCCTTAGCTACATTTGTAAAAATGTAAAGCTTTCAAGAGAGAAAAGCACCAGCAAAATTAAAGCGGACATTCTCCAATTAGTACTTTTTCTTCTAGACAGAACTTATGTTATCCTGACCATTATATTTTTGCAGCATAGCACTTGTCTTTCTCACCTAGGTACCTACTCTCGTTTCCGGTCAGATCACCACAGCGATTCCAACAAACGTTCCCCCCCCTCGCTGCCTGCAACCTCCTGGAACATGTCATAGGTCCCAGAAGGATGCGGGACTATTCACAAAGGGCAGCATGGTGCAGCACATGCATGTGCTTTGTGAAGCCGCAAGGAATTTGGGAAAAGAAGACAGGCGAAGAACCGGCTGGGAAAGGGCAACGCTGGATCCCTAGACATTCACAGTGCTGGCTCACTTAGATAAGGATCAGATCTCACACACACATGTATGACAAATTAGTGCAGAAAACCAGCTTGTTTCAAGGGGTTCACATATTTTTCTTGCTATTGTACCATTTATATGTGGCATCATTAATCTGCATGAAGCAATATTAAGCCTACACTACTCTGACCAGCAGATGTCCTCATAAGTACAGTTGCTAGCAGTATCACTGCTACATAATGCAAGAGAATTAAGTAACTAAATTAGCATATTATGTCACCTACAAGAAGGCTCCTCTCAAAAAAAAAAAAAAAAATCTTGGATTTAAGGTCATCAAGAACATTACATCAAGTATAACAAGTAAACTAGCGATCACACCCAGTTTTTGCACAGTGCAAATCAATTCGTTTTACTGCACATTTTGAAGCCAGATAAGCAAAAATATACTGCCACATACTCCAAATATGTTACATTGTCATAAAGCTGGGATTGAAGGCAACAAATAAGCAATACCATAATGGTGAACTGCATGAAAATTTAGAGACCTTAAAAACATTTAAAATTGTGTGGCCATAGGCACTGAATGCTAGGACTTCAACTTCTATCCAAGCCACAAATAAAAAGAAAGCCTGCTACAATACCTCAGTTTGCCTTTATATATCATAGGAACTAATTTTTCAATGTGGACAATCTATATGCTGTCACCAGCTGACAGTGATGTCAATATACTCCTGATATAGTGTACAGAGCCAAGGCCTGCTAAACAGGTATTAATATATAGGAATTATGTAGCACCAACAGTTTGAACAGCACTTTACAAAATAGAAGGAAACAGTGCTGTTACAATATATTTCAATAATAGAATGATCAGAGGGCCCTGCTTATGAGAGCTTACATGTAGTTCCTGGCACAGGGCAAGAAGTTTTTTTTTTTTAAACATTTAGACCTGCTGCAGGCAAGCAGGACGAGTGGGAGGCAGGACTTATTTTTTTCCTTTAAATATATTTCGATTTTATATTTATATTTTTATTTATTGTAGTCATCTGATTACAGTTCTATTTCATTTATAATATAGATTTATTAATTTAAAAAAAAATAATATTTTTTTAAATTTTATTTTCGCTTTTTAAATTTTTTTTTATAGATTTTTATTTATATTTGCATTTATTTTGATATTTTCCATTTCTATTGGCATTTGTTGTTGTAATCGGTTATCTGCAGATACATATTTTTATTTTTAACATTTTTATTTACTTTTATATATTTATAATTTTTGTTGGTAATATTATCCAGTTGGTATTATTGTTATGTGCAGATTATTATATATTTATTTTAATTTTTGTAGTTCTAATTCAGTTATTGTTATCTGCAGCCTTGTACTGTCCAAGTCACGTCCACTGGTAGGGGAGACAGAGCCTGTCCAATCCGGGACACCCGAACAACCAGGCAGTGCTTCTGCTGGCTGATCATAGAGGCGGAAAAAGACCAGCAGTGCTCTCTGTCTGTCTCTATGATATAGGAAGCGATGAGCATACATCACTTTAATCGGATGGAAACAGAGCCATTCTTAAAAATGGAAAGCATTTGATCACACCGATCTTGGTGTGATCAAATACTTTTTAGGGCAGAGGAGGGATATGGGGTCTTTTTGACTTCAGATCTCTCCATAAAGAGTACCAATCACTGCCTCTTGAGGTCACAGGGGAGGTTTATATTCCTCATGACAGTAATAAAAGAAATTTAAAACAAAGCAACAGTGTAAAAATAAAAAAAAAAATGTTAAAGCACCCCTACCTTAAGAGTAGCCATCCCCCCTTTTTCAAGAAACCAAAAGCAATTGGACAATTGAATCAAAAGTTGTTTCAAGGCCAGGTGTGGGCTACTCCATTATTTCTTCATCAATAAAGCAGGTAAAAGGTCTGGAGTTGATTCTAAGTGTGGCATTTGCAATCTATTGTTGTGAACCTACATCATGTGTTCAAAGGAGCTGTCCATGCAAGTGAAACAGGCCATTGTAAGGCTTCAAAAATTAAGCAAATCCATCAGAGATAGCAGCAACATTGGGAGTGGCCAAAACAATTTGGTACATTCTGAGGAAAGAACGCACTGGTGAGCTCAGCAACGTAAAAAAGGCAGGGATGTCCATGGAAGACAACAGTGGTGCATGATCGCAGAATTCTTTCTATGGTAAAGAAAAACCCACTCATAACATCCACGCATGCAACCTATACGGGGTGACACCGGACCTGCTCCATGAAAAGGTAAGTTGTAAAGAAAGCCGACGATCCCCGCAGGATGGATCGGATCTGCGAATTGGGGAGCATAATGGATCGGAGTCCGATCCATTATGCCCAATCCGCAGATCTGATCCATTCTGCGGGGATCGTCGGAGGGGGTGTCACCAAGTGTTATCGCACTGGATGACACCAACCCTAGGGATGCCCCTGTATATATATGTAACACCAGGGATTTCACACAAAAGGAAGCAATGCAAACAGAACAGTATACTTTTTCATACAGGTACATGGTATAGCAGGCACAAATCAGAGATATGAAATGTTGGGTTTACATATTCTTTGAAATTGTATTGTATAATGGTTGTAATGTACAGAAATTGTTACAGCTTGAGAAGGCCGAGTAAGGCTGGGACAGGGGCTATATACGTATTTTTTTTTTTTTTTTTTTAAACACAGAAAACCTGTAGCCATTTGGATTTAGAAATGCGCTTGCAGACACACGTCTGAATTTCGTCAGATTATGTTACCACCTTTCATCACCCTCTGTAGTGGTGGGCATCTTGGCAATTAGTTTTGCTCTTGACATGTCTAGAGGGCCGTACAATAGCAACATGTTTTCATGCTTTACAGCACTTTGTATTAGGAAGTCCATTAAAAATGAACTGTAACACAAATGTAGGTCCTGTTTTTTTTTCTTTTTGCTGTGCAGAGGTACAACTGTTCATTTTGTTGTGCCATTTCAAGAAAAATAAATGCAGGTGCAGTTTTCTGTTCTGGTGTGTTGGCAGCCACAATGAGGCACATTACAGCAACATGCCAGATCAGACAGGTATGAAGAAGACATCAGAGTTATTAGTGTCTAACTGAAAATTTTGTTTTCTTTTCTGCTTTTCTCGCTCACTTTTCAGGGTGATGTGCGAGACTGGAACTGACACAGTTGGGGTAGACTGCCAGTCTAAAGTTCTGCACAGGTACATCCCCTCCTGACAGCAGATTTGACCAGGGTTTTGCAGATCAGGAGTAAGGAGTCACTTTTCATCTCCAAACCAGACGAGTTCACTTACAACTGGAGCAGCTACTGATGTGCCAGCTGCATTTCTGCAATTGAGGAGTCCGTTTATCAGCAATCAGTGGCTCAAGTGGGTCCCCACTCGAGTAAACAGACTTCTCCAGCACAGTAAAATGGCTAGCAAGTCAGGAGCTGCTGCCAACTATTTATAGTCGGCTGTGCTGGCTCAGAAATTCGGCTGGTCATCAAGGGCTTTCCCTGGAGCCTAGCAGATGGTAGGCCACACACAGCTCCTGCTTAGAGGCACAATGAATGTGCTTTGCTCTGCTCCTGTTATCAGAGAAAGTCTGTTTCCTATAGGATCATACAATCCTTAGGTGGCTCTTCTTGGCAGTTATTTCCAAAGAATTAGCAACAGAGACAGTAACTAGAATTACAACTACAAATATACAAACAGCACAAAATAAAAACACAGTAACCTCCAACTTGAGCTATTTTTTTTAAAGGCTACAGCAAAGAGCTACAATATCTGTTGGATGCAAGAATATGCTATTCTATGCTCCAACACAAGCCACAAAACACTAATCTATAAAAGTACCAACGCTGGACAAACACAGTATTGATTCATTTAAGTATGTTTACCTGAAGGCTCACTCATTCTTACTTAAGCCAGCCATTGATGGATCAAAACTCGGCCGAATCAGCAGGGACTCGAGATTCAATTCATCTATGGGCAGGCTGATTGTACCCAAATCGATCCATTGATGGACTTGGGTACAACCAGCATGTTGGATTTTTGGCATGTGATCACTACCCGTGGCTATAGCTAGCTAGACTTTGCAAGGCAACGGATATACTAAAAAGGAAAGGCTTCTGCTACGCTCATTTTTAATGCATTCATTGCTATATACATACAACATTGATAGTCTTGCAGATAAGGGGAGGGGGGTGTGCACAATTTGCAAACATGTCATGAAGCAAACTAGCAGATTTTTTGAAACACATGCAAACAAGACCTCCAGAAACAAACACACAGAAACAGATTTTGCATTTCCGGGTAGAGGACGCGTGCAAAACCGCCCGTGCTGTCACTGGCTCCAGCACATGCCGATCACCAGGTCCCGGCCCAGTGGTTTATGACCGGGACCCGCCGACTGCCGGAGCGGGTGACAGAA